AGTTTGCTGTATAGAGGAAAGTGATGAAATCCATGCCATGTTAGACTATTATCATGATCTTGGTGTCATCACCAAACATGGTGATACAGTGGTTCTCCATTCTCAGTGGCTTATTGATCTGTTTAGAAAGTTGATCACTGTCAGACCTTATGATGATCAGGTCAGTAATACTTACCTTATCATGGTACATGTATTCCCACATACAACAACAGCTTGCTTATCAGCACCAAAAAGTTGCTAGGGTCCACTTTTTCCCACTTTGTCAACAATCAAACCTGTCTTGMTGCATTATTTCCAAAAAAGTAGGGCTTAAAACACTCTTAACATGCTGCGATWATTTGTTCTAGAATCCCATGTATGAGGAATACTGGAATGACCTTGAAGAAAGTGGAATTCTGCGCATGGAGCTTGTTGAGCATGTTTTTAGTGAACTTTTAGATAGCGGSCAAAGTAGAGACGATCTTCTTGGAATGATGGAACATTATGGACTTATTGCTGGGTTCAAGAAAGATGCTGACACTCGGTACTTTGTACCTGCTCAGCTACGATCATCTCCAAATGAATTGTTAGATATTCAGCCATCACCCATCGGACCATGCGCACTGTATGTGCATTTTATTGATGGTTTTGTCCCACATGGTTTATATTCTTTGTTTGTGTCTAAATTCATTGCCTGGTGTTCCACATCTCAGGATGGTAGTCAACACGAGCCAAATCTGTACCGAAATGTCTCGCGTTTCATTCTCGGGAAATCTTCGGATTACGAACTGATAATCATCTGTAGGAAGCGATTCATCAAGGTCGTTCTATGCAACCTTCAAGAGAACAAGTCATGTCTGTACCAACCRGCAGTGTCTGTTCGAAGGTTCATTGAATCTACCTTGAAAARAATCACTGTAGAGTGTACTTGGTATCGTTCWATGAGATGTCAACTWTCTGTATTGTGTCCGTCATGTAGTGAATCTCGAAAACCATGCACGAAACATCRTGAAGTTTCTTGTAGTAACGATGACTGTATCCATCTTCTGGAAGTCAATGACCAACAAGTTCTAGTGTGCACTAAAAGCTTTGGTAAAAAGTCACGTCCTGAAGTACAAAATCTTGAATTTTGGTATGCCACTCCCAAGGTGTGTAATCACATAATAATGCCACTACTTTGAGATTACGAGATTGAATCGAAAATTAGATGTAATAAGGATCTACATTATTGAAACTCCACCTTAGGTGGAGTATTTGCTGTAAATACATTACGATGTAAATATACCGGAAATAAAATTTACAGGATATTGGACTTTTACAGGATATTTACATGAAATTTACGGGGTTCTTATAGCAAATTTACAACGTATTTTACGGGAAATTTACAGAGTTATTTTAGCYAACTATGAATTGTTCTTTATGCTTTTGYTATTTGTTCACAGCAAGATGCTGTTTCCATACCAACAGACAAACTTATGTGTTTAGCATATGACATTGGTGAAAAGTGGAAGATTGTGGGAAGAGCTTTGGGGCTGAATGAAGCAGACTTAGACGAAATAGAAATAGATGAAGACCAATTGTATGAACGCTGCTATGCAGTCTTGAGACGGTGGACGGAGAGTCATGGCTYGTCTGCAAATTACGAAGCTCTAAGTTCTGCGTTAACACATCCTGCGGTCGAGATGTCGGATCTTGCGTGGAAATATTGTGGTTCTGTTGAGATAGATGCACCAGGTAGGAGGTTATCATGGTGCACAAGCGCAGCGTGTACCGTTTAGAATAGACTCTCGTTGCTTTCAGAAAAACTAAAAGCAATGCCTAGTAGTGAAGTAGTGGTCAGTATTTTTACGATGGTAAWCATGGAWAGTGATGATTGGGTTTGGTTCCAAATTTCTGCCTCTCAGTSATGGTTGCGCGSCACTGGTGACTGGCCWGGAACACCGGGAGACATACTGGAGACCTATTGGTCAACAATACCTCTATCGTTTTCGCCATTAATATCTTCATTCCCCAATTTAATCCATAGGAATCTCATCAGATGACACTCCACCTGAGGTTTTCATATCTTATCAATGGGATATACAAAGTACTGTAATTGAACTTGCATCTCTACTGAAAGAAAATGGATTCAATTGCTGGATTGATATCGGTCAAATGGGAGGTGGAGATTCACTGTATGCAGAGTTAGATAAGGGAATCAGATCTGCAAAGGTAACATCCTAAATGGCAGCCAGTGGCGGGCAAGCACTTTACGCATGCGTAAAGAAGGAATAGTTGTCTACGAGATTGGGTTTTGACAATAGCATTGCAAGTTAAAAAGCAAATCTTCAATACCTAAAGTTTGATTTTATTTGTTTCAGGTCGTTCTTTCATGTGTGACTGACAGATATTGTAAGTCAGAAAACTGTCAACGCGAAGCAACGTTAGCAGATTCCATCAAGAAACCCATAATTCCCTTGTTACTAGAGCCCATTCCCTGGCCACCTGCAGGACAGCTTGGTCTTATTTTTGCCAAACTCCTGTACATTGACATGACACAGGGATACCAAGCAAAAATGGATGAATTAGTTCGAAAGATTAAAGTACACACCTCGAAATAGTGATAAAGTTTTTTTTTAGGGTAATTTGTAATCCACCTACGTGAACCTTCCTTTGAAAAGTTTAGTATATTAGTAAAATT